CCTCGGGGAGAGCAGCACCGAGGCCAGCAAGACGCTGCCCGCCATCGAGGTGGGGCCCGGGGCGGGTGGGGCTCGCGCTTCCCCGGCCCAAGATTCGCCTCGCGGGTCCTGAGCCACGTGTTTGATGGTGGTTATTAGTGTCGCCGGTGCTGTTGTTGGAGCCGGTACTACTGTCACGTGGCCCCACAGTCAGAAGGGCCTTCAGAGAGGCTCTTTCCGACCCTTTGCAGTATTGACGCAAACTGCCGTGGCTGCGGAGGCAGGGGAGCCCTCAGAGCGAGGCCTTGCGCATCAGAGTGGCTGGGTTGGAATCCCCGTGCAGCCATTGGCTAGCTGTGCAGCCTGGGCAGGTTGCTCAGCCCCGCTGTGTCTTTCCTCCTCTAGGAACTGGGATGGTAATAATAACCAGCCAGCTGGGGTTGCTGGGAGGAGTGAATGGTTCATCGTACATGCTAAGGACCTCCAGCTGGTCAGCGCTCAATAGAGTTGAGCTGCTGGTACTATTATTATCACTAGAGGCTTGGTCCCTATCCACCGGACCCCAGCAGCAAGCTAACCTACCGGTGGAAGCCCCCTGGTTGTCAGTGTGTGTTATAGCTACCCGTTGAATGGTTGCTTAGGCTTTTATATATATAGACCATCATAGCTCTTAGGCCTGGCCATTCCACTCTCAGGAATTTGTAGTGTAGCTGTGTCTGTGTCTGGGCGCACAGAGGAATGTACAAGGTTATCCACTGCAGCCTTGTTCGCATGAGAAGAAGGACATTTCAGTGTGCATCAGTCAGGGAGGGACTGGTAAATGAGTCAACAAACAGCTACACATCAGAATTTTGTGCAGTTGTAACACATATATCTGTGTATGTGTGCAGGTAAATATAAATACCTACGGTTAATACAGAAAACATTTTAAATGGAGATTCCATTAGGTACTGATGTGGAGTATTTCCAAGATGTATTAATAATCCCTCCCCCAAAATGGAGGAGGGTAGGGTATGATACTGGCTTTTGTGTTGAGAGGGAAAATAAGGTTTTAATTTTGTATTTGCGAGTATGCGCATAAAGAAACTCTGGAAGGAAAAACAAAAATTAATAAGGGTGATTACTTTTGGGAAGGAGTGCTCAATGGATAAGGTATAGGTAAGGTGTTTGTTTGTTTTTAACTATATACATCTTCATTTTGTTTTAAATATTTGATTCATATGATATGGTTCAAAATGTTTGAAAATATAAAGATTTATATTAACAGAATTTAAGTTAAAATGAACAGAAGAAACTCCCCCTACCCCCAGAGGTAATCATTGTTATCAGTATCTCATGTGTCCTTCCAGAAGGATTTTGATTATACAGGTAAATATATACATACATAAATACCATCCCCCTTTTTGTACATAGAGGGGAGCATGATATATATATACATATATATATATATATATATACACACACACACACACACACATATATATATATACACACACACACACATACACACACACACACACACACACATACATACATATACACACACACATACAGATGATCCTGGACTTACCAGATGGTTCTACTTACAATATTTTGACTTTGCGATGGGGTAACATTTGATATACACATAAAAAATTGCATGAGATATTGCACACTTTATTATAAAACTAGAGGCCCGATGCACAAATTTGTGCAAGGGGCTGGGCCCTCGCAGCCCCGGCTTCGTCTAGAAGGTCATTCGGCTGTCCAGTCTAATTAGCATATTATGCTTTTATGATTATAGACTAGAGGCCCAGCATGCAGGAAATCATGTGCGAGTAGCTCGCTTCCGCTTGCCTCAGCTGGCCGCCCTGCCCATAGCCGCTTGTAGCTCTCCACCACTAGTAGCTCACGCCCACCCCCCCACCTCGAGAGCAGCTGCTCCCGGGGTGGGGGGTGGGGGGACCAAGAGGTGCTCAATGCACCTCCTGGTGACCGGTCATTACAGTGTTACGGTGTTAGGGCCGTGGTCATTTTATAATATAGATAGACTTTGTGTTAGATGATTTTGCCCAACTGTAGGCTAATGTAAGTGTTCCGAGCACATTTAAGGTAGGCCGGGCTAAGCGATGATGTTCTGTATGTGCATTAAATGCATTTTTGACCTGATGTTTTCACCCTACACTGGGACATTTATCGGTACGTAACCCCATCATAAGTTCATCGTAAGTAGAGGAGCATCTGTATAGTATATGTGTACTGTTCTGTGCTTTGCTTTTTTTTAACTTAAGAATATATCTTGGCCCTGTCCAGGTAGCTCGGTTGGTTGGAGCATTATCCTGTACAGCAAAAGGTTGTGGGTTCGATTCCTGGTCAGGGAACATACCTCATTGTGGGTTTGATCCCTTGTCAGGGCCCGGGTGGGAGACAACCAATCGATGTTCCTCTCTCACATCGATGTTTCTCTCTCTCTCTCCCCCCCCTTCCTCTCTCTCTAAAAATCAATAAACATATCTTCAGGTGAGAAAAAAAAAGAATATATCTTGGAGCTTGGCTCACACTAGCATGTATGAAGCTGCCCGATGCTCTTTTCCACGGAGTCCGTAGTGTGGGTGTGTGGTAATTTCTTGTGCAGTGACTTATTGGTGGGCAGTGACGTTGTTTCCATCTCCTGCTATTTATTGTAAGCGGGGCTGTAGAGAATGACATGGTTCATCTATTATTTCCTTCATCTGTGTCACTCACATAACTCCTTGAAGTGGAATTGCTGGCCAAAGTAATTGGATGGATATTGCCCAATTGTCCTCCCTGGGGATCGTATCCATGACTGTTTTTCCCAGTGATGTCTGAGGCCTGGTTCCTTTTTTTTAAAATTTATTTATTTATTT